CATCATCATCATCATCATCATCATCATCATTGTGTTTATTAAGTGAGTTCCTGCATTACAAAGTAATTTCACAAGTTATCACAAATGCAGAATTTCCTAAACTTATTGCAAAATATTAAATGTTACTTGCAATAAATGACTGTTCAGTACTTTTTAAACAAAGCGTTTTTTTTTCCAGGAAGAAGAGGAGAGACGGTGGAGCTGAAGTAGTCAGACAAAATCAGGCAAGTTTCAGGATCAGCAGGATCATGATATAGACAGTATACTTAACTATAAAAATGAAGACTAACAAAATCATGTGCTGATGCTTGACAAATATTTGACATGATGTTTCAGACTGATCTGCTGATATCTGTGAGATTGTTATTTTTTAAAACAGCAGGAGGATCGTGTTGGCAGATCAGCAGAAATGGCTCTGACCAATGACGTTCCAGTGTATTCAGTAGTATCAGCCAATCAGAGGGATGATCTGTATTCCAACATTAAAGCGAAGAAACCCAAACGCTCTGGGAGAGAACAAACAGAAAAAGACTCTGGAGATATTGAAGAGGTTCAGTATGCCAGTGTCCATCACTTCAAGAACAAAGACATGAACAAGACCGAAGAGACCATTGAGATGCAACATCCGTCTGATGCCAACAGGTGAGAAATGATTCATCTGAACCCAAATGAAACATATTCAATGCTTAATCAGAGCTCTCATTGTTTTGGGTTGAGATTATGAATTGTCACCTCCTGGTGGGACTTTCTGAAATGCTACATTAACATATTCATTTAATTTCTCCCCAGAGCTGAGGATGTGATCTACAGCTCAGTGAAATGAAGAACATGTGGTTGGAGCCGCGTCCTATTGATGCTCATGGGAGACCTGGTTTTGAGTCCATCCCAGGTCATGTTCCAGCTCCCTCTCTTCTTGAATTCACCCATTTACTCATCTTTGGGACTATTCTACTGTTTAGACATTAATGGCTTTCAGTTTAAATTCTGCTCGTTTGTTACAATCTTGATTATCTCAAGCACTGCCTTCCTCTACCCTCACACATGAACGCCACTCATTCCTGTAATAGTCAAAGGCCTTTTAGCTCTCACTTTGTACAGTCAATGTAGAACAGATATTTTCTCTGTTCATCCTGTGTGAGTTTGTGAACATTGTCAGAAAGTCTTTATTTTCATTATGGCATCATGACAATTTAGCACATTTTACACCAAATTCTCATTACTGTAATGTGCTAGGTATTGTATTTTTCATGATTTGTATAAATAGCCTATAGCCAAGTTATAATAATTTCCAGCTACCTGCTCTTAAGAAATTTTTTCAGATATCTGACTTTTGTTATTGGGAGTTTTGATGTCGGTAGTGATGTTCACACAGTCAATCACCTGTAACCGTAAGTGCTGTAAAATGCCTCTGCTCATAGAGCTTTTTTAGATTGATGCTGAGACTTTTTAGGCTGGGTAGAATCTGCAATCTCTGACCCAGTTCGTTTGCTGGCTTCCATGGCTGCAATACGCTGTGTTTTCCACCAACTGGCAAACCGGGGTGTTGAAATACCATTGAGTAAACTGGCAGTGTGGAATCAAACAGACCAAAACAACAACAACAAAAAAAGACATTCTGACACCGAACCAGTGTTGCCAAGTCTGTGGTTTTCCCACGGAATCGGGCTAGTGTTATACTGCTGCTTGTGAAGCGTCTGCATTTTATGAGAAAAATATCAAACAGCGATGGAAAACGCTCTGGTTACTAACGTAATTAAACGCTCTGGTTCCCTGAATTAATGGGAACGAGCATTGCATTTACCACGCTTGGGCGGGGGGGGGACTGATTTGTTAATGTTTGTGTAGCTGCATGAACAGATGGCATCAGAATGCCTTCTGCAGCTCAGGGTCCAGCGTCACTTTGGGGTGGGGGCCCTAGCACTTGTGAAAGGGATAGTGCTTGGCAGTCTGAGGACGCTGCTGGAGCTCAAGCTCTGGCTTGGACTGAGGCGGAGCAGGTGATGGAGCAGGATTTGCAGGCTGTTGAGTCGGCAGAGCCTTCTGGCGACTTGAAACAGCCATTGAGCTGGAGCGTTTGGACAGGAAGTGGTGCATAGCTTGCAACGACTTCTGCGCTGCAGTGAAGTAGGGCTGTCAAAATGGCTGAAAAACTAAATTCGAAATTTGTACTTAAATATTATCAAAATTCGAATTATATTTGAATTTAAAATGCATAATTTCAGTTAGGGTGAAGAAAAGCGTTTGGCTTCTCTCGTAGACCACAAGAGGGCGCATCATTCAAAGCATAAGATAACATGACTATCTGCGAAAAAAAGTGCAAAATGTTTAAAATAATGTTTATAAACCAATTATAATTAAGCTGCTTAAATTATATACATGTATGTATGCATAGTTTAATACAAAGGGCGGAAAGCCAATCACACAGAGTACATTTTTCATTTAAAAACACGAGTTGCAGTCAGATGGGGAAAAACCCGCCATAAAGTCTCGATATATGTTTTTTTCAAAGTTAAACTTGCATTAATTTTACATGGCTTTCTAAACGTGCGGCTGTTTTGTGCGAGACACGAGTGCAACAGTAATGTAGATGTCCGTCTAGAAACTGCGTTACACTCTTGTTTTCGGAAGTCAGTCGCTAGTTCCGCCTTCTCGATGACATCACGCACGTCGTTAAAGATGGCACGCGATGAATGGTCAGGAAGCAACGTGTAGTCCGACATGTTTCTTGTCCACGACACGACAAGATTTTAGGAGTCAAAATCGTGTAATCTGACACAGTGACTATCGTGACTGACAAAAATATCGTGTAGTGCTGTTTTTGGAGCACATAGAGCCAGGTCAGTCACGCTGCACAGATCCTTGAAAGCAGCAGGTCCAGGCCTGACTTGTCCATGGCATGAAGGAGCTTGGCCTGGAAAACCTGGAGGACCATCATGGTATGGAGCACCGAGCCAGCTTGTCCAGCCGTGGAATGTGTTTATTCCTCTGAGACTCCTGGGAGGAGAGAAGCAGGAGAATGCAGGTGGTAGGACCGCTTTCATGAAAGAAAGCGATCCGCGATCGTAGCGAGACTCATGCTCTCCCAATGAGGGCAGTCCATGTCCTTGAACACTGTCTCAGCGTGAGCACGGCCCAGGCAAGTGACGCACTCACACTGACACTGCAAATATGCACATAAGAACATTAACCCATGGTTAAGGAATGTACAGTGTAAAACTGAAGCCCTGATGTGTGAACAAGGTTTTTTTTTATCATGAAAGTTGAGACTTATTTGCATAGAAACAGGAAATGTTATAATTTATAACCCCCAGCTTAACACGTCTGTTTAGTCTTCAAACTTACCATTTATACTTTGACTACTAGTGAAGAAAGCTACTGTAAACAAGGTATGAGAGTTTTATTTGATTAAGAGTTTGTGAAATGCACTGGTGTGAAAGAGAAGGAACGGATAGCTTTTGGGACAAAATGTTTGTGGGTGGGTCGGTTCTATACCATGTTATATCAAACAGGACCTTAGTGGACCTTTATTTCACAGGGCTTGAGGACGCTACACTTTAAGCTAGGTAAATAAGTTCAGGAGAGACTAAATTGATTCATACATGTAGATAATTTATATTATGATGAATATGGTTTGGTAGCAGGTCAGCTGGGCAATGTAAGAAGCTTAAAAGTCCTGTTGACTTGTACTATTACACCGTGTCTACTGCAGATGTGAGCAAAAGCCAATAGAGTCCATTATAATCAGTGATATTTTCTATACTGGATGAGGTGCAAAACGACATGACAAATCCCTGACAGCAAACTGATGCCATCCAGTGTATACATGATGTTAGAATGCTAACAACATAATAATCTGATGTTGCACAAAGAACAGACAATTGGAAAGTCCAGAGGAAAAGGATTTAAGATTGCTTGAGACTAATTTTTAACATGCATGAGCAATGTAACCACAGTTCAGCAGTGCAACGCCTCCACTCCACCCCGATCTTATCGGTTATTTAGGTGATAGCGAGTCACAAGACAGTTTCTGAGAAGCACTTTTACTATTAAAGGGGTCATATGATGCTATTTTAAAAATCATTATTTTGTGTATTTGTTGTAACAGAATATGTTGACATGCTTTAATGTTCAAAAAACACATTATTTTTCAAATAATGTACATTATTGTAGGTCCTCTATGCCCCGCCTCTCTCAAACATGTCGTTTTCAACAAAGCCCCCTCCT